ACATTTGTTTTTGCCCTCAAGTTGTTCCAAACCTGTATTAATTTTTTTCGTCAGCTGAACACAAAAGGAGATATTTTGAAGAATGTGGGTATCAGTTGATGTATAGAAAAAAATATCAATGGGGTTACCCATATTCTTATATTAGCCTACCCATATTCTTCAAAATACTTTTTTTTTGTGTGTTCATCAGAAGAAATAAATTCATAACGGTCAAACTTGAGGGTGAGTAAATGATGACAACGTTTACATTTTTGGGTGAACTAGGCTATCCCTTTAAGGAGCCAGATTTATTTAGTCTCTGTTTAATTAAATACGGCTTCAATTTCCCCTATTTTATATAACAATTCTATACATCGATGTAAAATACGTAAGCACACATATCACCTGTAATGCGTTTAGTGGAAAAAATGAGTTTTACGTTTAACATATACAGTACAATTTTAACGAGATCTGATATGCAAATGAGTCAGAGTGTTAAAGGGATAGTTCACCCAAAAATGAAAATTCTGTCATAATTTACTAACCCTCAAGTTGTTTCAAACCTGTATGAGTTTCTTTCTTCTGTTGAACACAAAAGAAGATATTTTGAAGAATGTTGGTGACCAGACAGTTGCTGGACCCCATTGACTCCCATAGTATCTTTTTTTCCTACTATGGAAGTCAATGGGGTCCAGCAACTGTCTGTTCACCAACATTCTTCAAAATATCTTCTTTTGTGTTCAACAGAAGAAAGAAACTCATACAGGTTTGAAACAACTTGAGGGTTAGTAAATTATGACAGAATTTTCATTTTTGGGTGAACTATCCCTTTAAGATGGTGGAGTCACCGCAGCCTGCAGGACAGAGAAAGCTCAGGTGAGAACATACACACGCTTATCTATCTATCTATCTATCTATCTATCTATCTATCTATCTATCTATCTATCTATCTATCTATCTATCTATCTATCTATCTATCTATCTATCTATCTATCTATCTATCTATCTATCTATCTATCTATCTTTCTATCTGAGAGAGAGAGAGAGAGAGGGGGGGGGGGGGTTCATATCATTCATATAGCTAGTATTAGATTACAAGCAAGATTGCTTTCACTTTTGACAAGTGAAAGAAGGTTGAGTATTTGCCATCTGTCAGAGTGAAGTGATGCATGTAGGCCTACTAGCCAAAGTAAACAAACCTGAGAAACAAGTGGGCAAGTTACAGTAATGAAATATGTTTCCGTGAAGACTTAAAGGGATAGTTTACCCAAAAATGAAACTTCTTTTATTAATCACTCACCCACACACACGTTGTTCCAAAACCCGTATGTCTTTCGTTCATCTTCGGAACACAAATAGGCTAAAGATATTTTTAATTATATCTGAGAGCTTTCTATCCCTCCATTGACAGCTACACAACTGGCACTTTAACGCTTCAAAAAGTTCATAAAACGAATCCATTTGAATTGAGTGGTTTAGTCCAAATTTTCTGAAGAGACACGTTCACTTTATATGATGAACAGATTTAATTTAGGCTTTAACGACATGAGGGTGAGTAGTATAGTTGCCTTGCAATGCCAGAATTTTCATTTTTGGGTCAACTATCCATATATGGCAAACATTTCTAACAGTTTATCATGAAGCCTTGAAGCCACCTTTGTGAGAAACTAAATCAACAAGTGGAAACAATTTTTGCATTAAAATAAATGATATTTCCTTTTTATTTTATGAATGTTCTAATCTAGACTTTATTTGCGGTCATCTTTGCAGATATTTTCTTTTTTTAGGTCCTTCACATGTGAGAGTAGTTCAAACATTTGTCCAGTTGGGGGCGACATGGACCATAAAAAGTGAACCTTCAGCAGGCTATCCTAAACTGAAATTAGGCCTACTAAATGAAAGGATAACAAACTGGGCAAACTGTTTCACTCAGTCAGAAGTTGTACGAAGCATTCACAACCTCATCTCAAAAACTAAACTGCTTATACTTTTTGGTAAAACATACATCATTTGATGAGGTTACTTCCATTGTTGATCTATCTAATTTAAATGAAATGTTAAGTGTTTCATGTATTAACAATTTTAATGTAATCATCATTACTGTAAATTAGGCCTACTATTAAAAATAGTAATTTGCGTGTGAATTAAGACCACATCTGCTTATATGTTGTGTCTGAATAAACAGAATGAGTGTTACAGGAAATTTCAAAATACCAAGAAGAGTCACACCAGTCCAGTTTAGCTTTCCCAGAACTTTCTGGTTTTCCAGGAACACTATGAGTTACAAATGCGTAAATTCCCTGGTGTCATTAATTTCATGCAGATTTGACTTTCATGGCTTGTTGTTATTAAGCCCATAAAAGGTGCAAGTAAAACCCCCAGAGACACTGAAACTGAAAGACTTTAGAAATGCACCCCAGAGACAGGCCTGCACCATTTGTCTGGTAAAAAAAAACTGAATTTTGCAACCGAGGTCATTGAAATGACCAAACACATGGAACAAATCAACCACAAATGCACGAGTTATGTCTTAAAACACACAGTTTATAAAGGACAGTGAACCTTCATCAATCATCTGGCACATCTGCACTTCACACAAGACTGAAGCTGCTGTTTCCTGTCATGTGTGCAGTTGGGGAGTTGAACGAATCAAAGGTCATTGACATTTTCAGGGTTACAGTACTACTGTAAAACCAACAAACAGCTTCAAACTCGCTACAGATGTTTTATTCCACACCACCAGATTGCCAAGGGACCAGTACAAAATCCCAGTTTGACTAAATCAAATTTGTGCAATAGTTGTTCTTTTTATGTATTTATAAACCCTTGTAAATAAACACATTATTTAAAAAATATATATATGTATAATATTTACATTTAAATCATCTATAAATTCTAGCAGTGCAAGTCCTGCGATGACAAAATCAATTTTGTGCAAATAATGACTTTTTATGTATTTATTCAAACACACCACATTATGTTAAAAAAATAAATGTATATTTTCATTTAAATCCTCTCCATATAAATTCGAGCAGTGCAAATCACGATTACAAAATCGGTTTATTGCAATAATTTTACTTTTTTTGTATGTATTTATAAATCTTTATACACAAACACATCACATTATAAAAAAAAAAGATGTATAATATTTTCATTTAAATCATCTCCATATAAATGAAAAAAAAAACAATTTTGTGCAAGAATTTTGCTTCTTATGTATTTATTTATATACCTTTATTCATAAAGACATCACCTTTATGAATAAACGTTACTAAGATTAATAAATGCTGTAGAAGTATTGTTCATTATTAGTTTGTTAACTATACTAATGTTATCTAATGAAACCTTCTTGTAAAGTGTTGCCCAATGTTTTCATTTAAATAACCTTTAAATACATTTAAGCTGCTATTAATTTATTTAACCATATTATGCATTAATTATTAAAAGAATTATTAAGGGAAACTAATTATTGGGGGGGTTAAACCTATATTCCAATAGATATTCATCCGCTATATGAATAAAACAATCCTATACATCAGTGTATGAAGAAGGAGAAGTTACTGAGTATGTTTTTTTCTACAAATAAACTAAAATAAAAAGATAATGAGAATGCTGCATTAGTGAATTAGAGCTTTATATATGTCGCAGAGATCCAGAGGCTGCCTGTGAAAGCTGCCAGCTGTTGAAATGAATTATGGAGTCTCATTAAGAAAGTGCTGTCTGCTAAAACAGAGCACTGTTCTCATTAAGCAAACAGAGACACCGAGAAACCCTCACTATTGATCACACCGGGATGAGAAATGAAGAGGGAAAGAAAACCTCGTCAAAATGAGCTTTTCGTTTGGTACAAGACAGCATCACATACTGGAAAGCGCATACTCGCTATCTAAAATACCCTGTTTTTGGACTGATGTTCTTTAAAGTACCATGTACAATAAACATCACCATTTATAAGTATAGAAATCACTCAATACCAGGGTGCTACCGCCTCAATACTTTTTTTGTTAGAGACTCTCACAACCGATTCATCAAGTTAGAAAATGTATCGACACAACCCAGTATTTACTGACTCCTGTAATTACTTACTGTACATGCATTCTGGGAAACAAATAAGAGAAAAACACATCTGGCAGGTAAAAACAGGATGGATCCAGTTCCTGTCCAACCTGTCTACGAGGCACGTTGTCAAAAGCAGCCCCTTAAAAAAGGATCATTTTTGTCATCTCACAAACACAATCATGTCCTTTTTTTTTTTACAAACAGTGTTTATTTCACATAGCAAGAACAATCATTCATTAGTGTTTATTATAAAACAGAAAGATAAAGAACATCCAGGTGCTCAAAGCTATTAGAATCGCACCGTTTGTGACATTTATACTAGAACTGAACATTGAACTACAATTAAAATTGAGACGTTGGAGTCATAAACAGAAAAAAAAAAAAAAAAAAAAACGACTGGAGATGGCCAGCCAACTAGAAAAGCCGGCCATGTAAAGTGCAAATCAGACACGCGTCTGTAAAGGAAACACCTCCTGTGGAGCAAAGGGCATCATAAAACAACTCAAAAGGTCACGTTTACTGTCAAACACTCATGCGTTCGCACACACACAGCATTAATAATTAATAAATGAACTCTGTTACATTAAATTTGTTTAAAAAATACAAAATATTGACTTGAATCAATTTTTTTTCTTCTATAAAACACTGAAATCAATTCCACTGTGACCATACAAACATGTTTCTTGTGCTGATGAAACGCTGCCAGGTGTTTACGTGTCGTGTAATGTTACCTCTCACTGCTAACTGGATGAGATTTAAAGAAAAATAATCACGTCGTTCATGTCGCATTGTTAGTCTTTCGGCTGCCTGTGTCCTGACTCCTGTTTAATGAGCTCTGGCTAAAGCTACATTTGCATCGGAACAACATCACACACACACACACACACACAGACTCAAACACAGACATCAGTCTCTTTTCTAGCCCTCAGGCACTCCAGCAGCCCTTTTTCTCTCTTCTCTTCTCTTCTCTTCTCTCACCTCTCCTCGCTCTCTTCTAATTGAGGCGAATATACCCTGGACAAAAGCCTTCTCAGAGGGGAGCATTTGACTGTATCTGTCACAAGCAAAACTTAAAATATTCACATCAGCTGCTGATGTGGGTGGCAAAGACTGGCTTGTGGTAATGGGTTTACGTGTTACAAATTTGTTATATGTGGTCAGTCAGTGTTTGACCCTAAATTTAAGTTTAACATGGCAAACAATTGGCTGGTTCTTTCTGCAGCAACTGGACTAAGAATAAAGATGGTGGGAGTGTGGAACATGTCCTGATACTCCTTCCCCTTTCAATTCTTTCAAAATCCCACCTCCATGCACCGACTTTACATAACCATTTTGTCTCATGGCAGTCAAGTTTGGTTTTGTGGTGAAGGGGCGCTTCATGCTTTTACAATGTTGATACATTGTGATTTGGAGTATAAGAATAACAAAAGAACAATACGACAAGCCACAAGGAACCAGGGTCCATCACCTCTCACAGAAATGCAGTGTATTTTTCTCTTCTACACTCCAGGGCTCCAGCATCAGATGGTCTTCCACTTCATCCTCCTCTTCCTCAAACACACTGATTTCCTCAGTAGAAGTCTCTAGGCAGTTGCTGCTGCCATGGCCCTCGCTGTATTCGTAGATGGTAGGTAGGCTGCTTCTCATTCCAAAGCGCCTGCGTAGTGCGACCAGCAATGGCTGAGGCACAGTAAAGATGTCCACATTGTTGCCCAGATCCACCCAGGCCAAATTGGGGAACTTTTTGGGGTCCTTAACCACCTCTATCAGGTCTTTAAGGATAGCTACAGTCAGTCGGTTACCGTTGATGGCAAGTGTGGTGAGTTTGGGTAACACTCCTAAGAATGGTAATAGAAGTCGCAAACTCTCATCCTGGAGCTCCGTGAAGCTGATGTCCACTGCTGTCACAGATGAACCATTGTTCTGAAGGTAGTATGCCACACGATGCAAATCACGCCCAGAAAGCGGGATACCAGACAGATCCACGGTATCATTTGCTAATTTCTTTTTCAGTGTAGTTTTAAGACTGTGAAAGAAAGAAAAAACAGCATTAGCAATTCACATTAAATGACCATGTTTATAATAATGAGTCAAAATTATTCATTTAGAGTATACACATAGTAAAATAAACATTGTTTGTTTGTTTTTGTGCAAATTGTAATGTTTTATATGATTTATATAACATTATTTATAACAGACGTGTAAATTTATGGTGAGAAAACAAAAAAGACACCACTAGCATTGGTGATTCAGTTGTAAAATCCCACTGAGGCAACATCAAGAATAAAGCACTACAAGCATTGGTGGTTCACTGGTAAAATTCTCGCCCAGGGATCGATTCCCGGCCAATGCATAAGTGTTTTTAGACGGCAAAAAATTCACACCTTCGAAAGATGGCCTATGAAATTCGAGTGAGACAACATCAAAATTAGTGGATCCTACAAGCATTGGTGGTTCAGTGGTAGAATTCTCGCCTGCCACGCGGGAGGCCCGGGTTCGATTCCCGGCCAATGCAAAAGTGCTTTTTGAGGGCAAAAATGTCACACCTTCGAAAGATGGCCTGTGAAATCCCAGTGAGGCAACGTCCAAAAAAGGGCCTCAACAAGCATTGGTGGTTCAGTGGTAGAATTCTCTGAGTTCGATTCCCGGCCAATGCAAAAGTGCCTTTTGAGGGCAAAAATTTCACACTGTCGAAAGATGGCCTGTGAAATCCCAGTGAGGCAATGTCAAAAAAGCGCCTCAACAAGCATTGGTGGTTCAGTGGTAGAATTCTCGCCTGCCACGCGGGAGGCCCGGGTTCGATTCCCGGCCAATGCAAGAGTGCTTTTTGAGGGCAAAAATTTCACACTGTCGAAAGATGGCCTGTGAAATCTGACTGAGGAAACGTCAAAAAGGGCCTTAACAAGCATTGGTGGTTCAGTGGTAGAATTCTCGCCTGCCACGCGGGAGGCCCGGGTTCGATTCCCGGCCAATGCAAGAGTGCTTTTTGAGGGCAAAAATTTCACACTGTCGAAAGATGGCCTGTGAAATCTGACTGAGGAAACGTCAAAAAAGGGCCTCAACAAGCATTGGTGGTTCAGTGGTAGAATTCTCGCCTGCCACGCGGGAGGCCCGGGTTCGATTCCCGGCCAATGCAAAAGTGCTTTTTGAGGGCAAAAATGTCACACCTTCTAAAGATGGCCTGTGAAATCCCAGTGAGGCAACGTCCAAAAAAGGGCCTCAACAAGCATTGGTGGTTCAGTGGTAGAATTCTCGCCTGCCACGCGGGAGGCCAGGGTTCGATTCCCGGCCAATGCAAGAGTACTTTTTGAGGGCAAAAATTTCACACTGTCGAAAGATGGCCTGTGAAATCTGACTGAGGAAACGTCAAAAAAGGGCCTCAACAAGCATTGGTGGTTCAGTGGTAGAATTCTCGCCTGCCACGCGGGAGGCCCGGGTTCGATTCCCGGCCAATGCAAGAGTGCTTTTTGAGGGCAAAAATGTCACACCTTTGAAAGATGGCCTGTGAAATCCCAGTGAGGCAACGTCCAAAAAAGGGCCTCAACAAGCATTGGTGGTTCAGTGGTAGAATTCTCTGAGTTCGATTCCCGGCCAATGCAAAAGTGCCTTTTGAGGGCAAAAATTTCACACTGTCGAAAGATGGCCTGTGAAATCCCAGTGAGGCAACGTCAAAAAAGCACCTCAACAAGCATTGGTGGTTCAGTGGTAGAATTCTCGCCTGCCACGCGGGAGGCCCGGGTTCGATTCCCGGCCAATGCAAGAGTGCTTTTTGAGGGCAAAAATTTCACACTGTCGAAAGATGGCCTGTGAAATCTGACTGAGGAAACGTCAAAAAAGGGCCTCAACAAGCATTGGTGGTTCAGTGGTAGAATTCTCGCCTGCCACGCGGGAGGCCCGGGTTCGATTCCCGGCCAATGCAAAAGTGCTTTTTGAGGGCAAAAATGTCACACCTTCGAAAGATGGCCTGTGAAATCCCAGTGAGGCAACGTCCAAAAAAGGGCCTCAACAAGCATTGGTGGTTCAGTGGTAGAATTCTCTGAGTTCGATTCCCGGCCAATGCAAAAGTGCCTTTTGAGGGCAAAAATTTCACACTGTCGAAAGATGGCCTGTGAAATCCCAGTGAGGCAACGTCAAAAAAGCGCCTCAACAAGCATTGGTGGTTCAGTGGTAGAATTCTCGCCTGCCACGCGGGAGGCCCGGGTTCGATTCCCGGCCAATGCAAGAGTGCTTTTTGAGGGCAAAAATTTCACACTGTCGAAAGATGGCCTGTGAAATCTGACTGAGGAAACGTCAAAAAAGGGCCTCAACAAGCATTGGTGGTTCAGTGGTAGAATTCTCGCCTGCCACGCGGGAGGCCCGGGTTTCGATTCCCGGCCAATGCAAAAGTGCTTTTTGAGGGCAAAAATGTCACACCTTCGAAAGATGGCCTGTGAAATCCCAGTGAGGCAACGTCCAAAAAAGTGCCACGCGGGAGGCCCGGGTTCGATTCCCGGCCAATGCAAGAGTGCTTTTTGAGGGCAAAAATTTCACACTGTCGAAAGATGGCCTGTGAAATCTGACTGAGGAAACGTCAAAAAAGGGCCTCAACAAGCATTGGTGGTTCAGTGGTAGAATTCTCTGAGTTCGATTCCCGGCCAATGCAAAAGTGCCTTTTGAGGGCAAAAATTTCACACTGTCGAAAGATGGCCTGTGAAATCCCAGTGAGGCAACGTCAAAAGAGCGCCTCAACAAGCATTGGTGGTTCAGTGGTAGAATTCTCGCCTGCCACGCGGGAGGCCCGGGTTCGATTCCCGGCCAATGCAAGAGTGCTTTTTGAGGGCAAAAATTTCACACTGTCGAAAGATGGCCAGTGAAATCCGACTGAGGCAACATCAAAAAAGGACCTTGACAAGCATTGGTGGTTCAGTGGTAGAATTCTCGCCTGCCACGTGGGAGGCCCGGGTTCGATTCCCGGCCAATGCAAAAGTGCTTTTTGAGGGCAAAAATGTCACACCTTCGAAAGATGGCCTGTGAAATCCCAGTGAGGCAACGTCAAAAAAAGAGCCTCAACAAGCATTGGTGGTTCAGTGGTAGACTTGCCTGCCACGCGGGAGGCCCGGGTTCGATTCCCGGCCAATGCAAGAGTGCTTTTTGAGGGCAAAAATTTCACACTGTCGAAAGATGGCCAGTGAAATCCGACTGAGGCAACATCAAAAAAGGACCTTAACAAGCATCGGTGGTTCAGTGGTAGAATTCTCGCCTGCCGCGCGGGAGGCCCGGGTTCGATTCCTGGCCAATGCAAAAGTGCTTTTTGAGGGCAAAAATGTCACACCTTCGAAAGACGGCCTGTGAAATCCCAGTGAGGCAACATCAAAAAAAGGGCCTCAACAAGCATTGGTGGTTCAGTGGTAGAATTCTCCGGGTTCGATTCCCGGCCAATGCAAAAGTGCCTTTTGAGGGCAAAAATTTCACACTGTCGAAAGGTGGCCTGTGAAATCCCAGTGAGGCAACGTCAAAAAAGCGCCTCAACAAGCATTGGTGGTTCAGTGGTAGAATTCTCGCCTGCCACGCGGGAGGCCCGGGTTTCGATTCCCGGCCAATGCACAACAATGAGCAAGCAAATTGCTCGCTTGACAATGCAAAAGCGATTTTTGATACTGTCAAACTACTTAAAACCAGTCTAAGTAACACAATACGAACATTGACAGCACATTTGTTGCATTTTTGATCAGATTTAATGCTGGGGTAATTCCTCATTTTGCATTCCAAAAGCCAAACGCATGTTGAGATTGTTCAATAGAGCAAAAGTACTTTTGGGAAATATATCCTCAAATACACAGTAAAAACACACCTACAACTTATTAGAGTACATTAAATGTGTGACAGTATGTTACGGTTGACTTGATCCCCATAAAGCATATTAGTGATTCAAACATTAGTCATCATTCAATCTCAAAATCCATGTGACTTAACCAGACAGTGTATTTTCTCAGAAAAGGGTCATAAAATGACAGGCAATTTAAATCTAACTCTGCCAACATGTTTTTTACAGTGATGACCAATGTTGTTTGTGATGTGCACAGCGCTTGCATTTCCCACTCTGTCTCCACACATTACCCATCAGCACGTCTTCCGCATATCCATGTATGCGAAGCCAGACCAACATTTGGATTAGACTCTTTCTTAGCCTCACAAAATAGGGAAAGAAACATGAAAATCGGATGTATGGATAGGGTTAAATGAGTCATTGTTCTTGCCCAGAGCAGTCACGTTGACAAGAGAGTCAGGGCTGTCAGAATAAATGAGTGCACACACCAAAAAACGGAAAACTGACGGAGATCCTTGCAATTGTGTGTGGTTTGCTCCGATGTACTGCTACTGCAACTCCCCCATACACTAGTCTGCAGATGAACAAGTGGACGACACAGCGGCCAGGGGGCATCAGCTTAAATGAGCAAGGTTTGTTGAGTCCTGAAATTAAATGTAATTCAGCTTGTCTTCCATATTTATGGAAGACAGACCAATTTTTTGCATTACTTCAACATGAAATATTCTGAATACATGGGTAATAATAAAGACTCTTACGCATAGAAAATGGCTCCATGTGCATTAACTACGCTTTAAATTAGAGAGCTGACAACTGAACAGCAATGCAGTTCCCTTCTTCAATCAGCCTGCAGCACCCCACCCCTTTGCAGCGGGGAAAGTCCATCTGCTTCTCCTCTGTTTGGCATGACAGCCTTACATTCAGAGGGGCTTTTGCTGTGACTGCAGGATTTGGACTTCCTACGCCGTGTGCTCATTGTTCTGAGTTTGGGCTTGTCTTATTGGATTAAGGGCTTTTCTACAGGGGCTGCCTGGCACGCTGCTCGCACATTTCTGCGTAGGAGCCAGAGGTCCAGCCAAACAATACGCACGTATCAGCCCTTTTCAATAACAACACTGTGTGTTGGTGTTATAGTCGTGAGGAAGGGTGCTGAGAGCTCCTGGAGTTGTTGGAATGGGGGTGGAATGGACGGGGTAGGTAGGAGACTGCAATCCAGAATTGGTTGCCCATCTGCAAGGTAACATGGAAGTGCTAATTCCAGTACAGACTCAAGATCATGCACTCTTTATCTCAGGGACGTTGTTAACATGGTCTCCTGACATTGTTGATCATAGGAACAAACCATTTTAGACTGCATTTTGAAAACGTAATGTGGTAAAACTACACATACTGTGAGATATATAGACCATGAATAAACCATGGTATTACTAAAAATTCTAAGAAAGGAATCACCCAGGAGGTCAAGGTTTGGCTGGTTTTGGCAGTTAGCCCCTACTGGTTGAGTTTGTAACTACAACAATAATCAGGCAAATAGCATGTTTAACCATTGACAGGCAATCAAAAATAACATAACTGCTACAAAATAAAATAATAGTAAAATAATTAGTAGTAAAAGCAGTAAAATTATATAAATATCTATACTGAACAGATAGTATTTTTCACTCATTTTCCATTTAAAATATCCAAAAGTCAAACATTGAGGTAAATGATGGAATTTGAAAAGTGATTTTCCAGGGTCATGTGTAAGGTCAGAAGACAAAACCAATAAATGCATTGATAAAATTAACTGTGGAACAGTCTAGAATCCTTGGAGGAACTGAACAGCCTGCTTAATGAGAGATATACTGGTTATAATTGCCTCATACATCCACTGCCCTTTGGGATATTGACATGTTTTCACAAAGATCTTACATGACCTATCAAATACAACCTCAAAAACAGCGAGAGACTATAATGAAACAAGCATTAAATATAGGAGGCCGCCACACAAAGACACATTCTGACTACTTTTACTCTGAATAATTACACGTTCATTAATTAATCAAATTAAGTCCCCAAAATAAAAACAATTCAAATTAATGATATTATTGTGTAAAACATTGAATAGACATTACAAAAAAGCACTACTTTAATGTGACAAATGTTAATGTTAAAATGTTTCATTACCACCAAACACGGTTTAATTTGCTAAAGATCTGTATTGCGTCTTCTGTGCCGTAAAATCGATTGACTAAAGGCTGGCCCACAATAAAAGATTATTAAAATCTTATCAGATTTTTAAAATGTGATAAAACACAAACCTGACAATAATTTTTTTTATAGATTTAACTGTTTTGTAACTGTTTTGTGTGGAGTGCCACGATGTGACCAAGACACACACCAAAATCGGCCCGATTATCTTGTAGTCTAGCTGGGCACACGCCCAGCTTAAGCAAACCTGTCAGGGCAGGTCTGCATACCATGCCACCATAACTCTGAAAATAACGTTGTCAAAACTCTCTTCCGATGGTTTCTCTACCAAGCCCTGACGACGTGGCAGGTTTTAAGGCCCATTTGCATTAATATATCTCCATACTGACACTCTGACATGAGCTCTATAAGAACTGATGTCTCTGAGACTTTATTTAGATTTAAAGGCACGATGCGATGTGACCTGTCTCTGCCAAACGGACAGTCTAAGTCACATTTCAAAATGTATCTCTTCTCCATGGGCTCTGAATCTCTCCAGGGATGATGGTTGTGGTCATTCTGTGAGCCTTCTGCAGGTGGTAATCAGATTTTCTCTCAGCAGTACCACATACACATTTCCCCAGCCATCTTAAACACGAACTGCACAGAACAATGACTTTCCAGTTGGATAATCCCATTTCATTACTGGTGGGATGGTCGAGGCTATATATAAAGTCAAGTGTAGAAAGAGAACTCGGTATAAAAGCACTGTGAACTAAAGGTCCCGGATGACAGGGCTATATATATATATACCACCCATTGCTCAGTGTGTGGCACCGTGAGCTCATGCCAACCTGTCAGAAGGGCACTGCGGGCTTAACAGTGAGTGTCAGACTGAAGTAGTGCCAGTTCTTGGAGCAGCTAATCCTACTCAACACACATGCCCACACTCAATCAACACAAACACACAATCACATGTGAGATTTCAGGACACCGGTGCCTCTCCATGGGGTTTCACCTAGGACATGGATTTGAGCAGGAGCTTCACCAACTGTGCCAGTGGAAAACACATGCTAATGTGAGAGGAACGTTAAAGATTAGAGGCATATAGAAAGCAATCTAAATAAAGCAACACCGCCAACTATTTCACAACCCAAAGAAAAAAAATCTGAAATTATATTTTGCATAAAAAAGTAAAGCCATTAAGATTTTTTTATTTATTGTGGCATTGTTTTCAAGACAATTAAACACAATTTTCTTTCAATTTTTATTACTGTAATATGGTAAAATCAGGAAATAAATAATGATGACTAAAAAAGCCTTATATTACAGAATATAAATAAATCAGAAAAGTACCATCATTTTTTTGTTTGTTTGTTTTTTTGCTTTTTCTGTACTATGTTAATG